TAGAGATAGCCACAGCAATAGCAATGACTACCAGTTTGCTTTCCAACCCACTCCTCCCCTCCCTCCTCCGGCCTTGCCCATCACAGCCCCCGCCGGCCTGCTCATCGCCAGCCGCCCCTGCCGCCGTCCACCGAGCCAGACGACGAAGCCAGTGAGCTGGCCAGGACGAGGAAGATCAAGAGAGGGCAAGTGCAAACGATATCCAATGCAGTGGCGGGCTAGAGTGTAGTGGTCTGCCACCTCTTCCAATCCCAAGCCCTCGTCTCCATCGACGTCCATCTCAATCGAATCCCGTCCGTCCTCCTCGCCCCTGCCGCCCAAGCCCCTCCACCCTCATTGCCCACACTCACACCCACCCATCATCCTCATCCAACTCGCCCACATCAATGCTCAAGCTCAATCTTCATACCCACCATCCTTCCGCCCGCCACGCCATCCACGTCATGACCCCCTCATCCCCCCCTACCATACTCATTACCACCGATCACCACAAACGACCACCCCCACCCCCTACTCCACCACCATCACTTTTATTGCAGCCACAACCACCACCCACATGTCCTGGCCATACCCATCACCACCCCATCGCGCGCTCGGCTTCCTCTTCCTCCTCATCGTCGTCCTCTCCCCGCTCTACCTCACCCGCATCCTCTTCCCCGACTCCGACACCGTCATCCCTTAACCATCCCATGGCAGACTGCCTATTCACCAACCAACAGCAATCTCGAGCCATCCATCCCCGACCCAGCTCCCTCAGCTGTCCCCGCCTCGCCGACCACCAGCCGCCAGCCGCCGCCCGCTCGCCCGATCAGCCCACCTTCATCACCACCTAGCTCCCACCCACTACCAGCTACACAACCCGCGACCACACCCAAGGTTTTCACTCGCCATGCACTAGCACCAGTATTAATACCGTCGTCATCGACACCCATCTTCATCGGTTCATTTCCGCGTCGGCTTGTTTGGCCTAGGCGGTTGAGCACGTCCTCGACCGCCCGACCCCGCACACGCCCCCACCACACTCATTGCAAGATATGCCCAATCTGATTTCACTACTACCCTATTACATACATACACTACCCCCTTGCACAATCTCCAATCCACAGCTGCAGTATTCCAGAATCCGAGTTTCGCCGGCTCAGGACCAAGTTGTTGGCCTGGTGTCCCTTCGAAGGTGCTGACCCCCCTGCCGCGGGCCCATCTCCGACCCCCACTCCCCACCATCACCACCCACAACCACCACACCCACACCACACATACTCACCACCCCTGCAAACATAGCCACCCACTCCCTGCCCGCCGATACGCACATCAGCCGACGCCAACCCGTCAACAGCATCACTGCCGACCGCCGGCTGCTCGCCGCCGACCGCCGCCCGCCGCCGACCAACCACTGCCGGCACCACCAAGAGCAAGCTAGCCATCGACAGGGCATTGGAGACGATGCAGAGAGATAGCCACATCAATGGCAATGCCTACCAGTGCGCCCTCCAACCCATTCCTCCCCTCCATCCTCCGGCCTTGCCCATCACAGCCCCCGCCGGCCTGCCCATCGCCAGCCGCCCCTGCTGCCGATCACCGAGCCAGACGACGAGTCCTATGGACTGGCCAAGACGAGGAAGAACAAGAGAGGGGAAGTGCAAGCGATAGGTAATGCAGTGGCCGGCTAAAGTGCAGTTGGCTGCTTCCCCCGCCATCTCAAGCCATCGTCTCCATCGACGTCCATCAATCAAATCCCGTCGGCCCTCCTCGCCCATGCCGCCCAAGCCCCTCCACCCTCATTGCTTATACCCCACACACACCCATCAGTCTCATCATACTCACCTTCATCAATGCTCAAGCCCAATCGCCATACCCAGCACCCCTCCGCCGCCACGCCTCCCACATCACGACCCCCCTCATCCCCCCTACCATACTCATCACGCCCCATCACCACAAACGACCACCCCACCCCTACCCGACCACCATGTCTTCCATCCCAGCCACAACTCCTATCCCCATGCTATGGCCATCCTCACCACCATCCCATCGCGCACTCGGCTTCCTCTTCCTCCTCGTCCTCATCCTCTCCCCGCTCCAACTCACCCTCATCCTCATCCCCGACCTCGACACTCACACCCCTCAACCATCACATGTCATTCTGCTCATCCTTCAACCAACAGCAATCTCGAGCCACCTAGCCGCGACCCAGCCCCCTCAGCTACCCCTGCCTTGCCGACCACCAGCCGTCAGCCGCCGCCCGCTCGCCAAATCAGCCGACCTTCATCACCACCTAGCTCTTTCCCACCACCAGCTACACAACCCGCGACCACACTTCCGGTTATTATTCATCTCACACTAGCACCAGTACAAATATCGCCGTCATCGACACCCATCGTCCTCGGCTCATTTCCGCGTAGACTTGTTTTGCCTAGGTGGTTGAGCACGTCCTCGACCGCTCCACCCCGCACACGTCCCCCACCATCCCCATTATCAGCTATACCCAATCTGATTTCACTACTACCCAACGACATGCACACACTGACTTTTGCACATGATCGTATCCACAGACTCACTTTCCGGAATCCTAGTTCCGCCGGCTGAGGCCCAAGTTGTTGACCTGGTCTCGTCTTCATGCCGCTGAGACCCTCCTAAGCGCGTTTATGGCTAGCGTCACGACGACGCCCCGGCGGCACGTGGAAAGGTTGCACTGCCAGAAAAACTATGAGCGATCGGACACTACAGCAACAGAGCGACGGCCTGAGCGGCCGTACGCGGTACTCGACGCGCGGCGGGTGGCACCGCGTGAGGCCGGGAGGGTGCGGTCGGCTGTTTGGACCGAACATGATGCGAGTGAGGACGAGGATGCCGAGTATGAAGACGACGATGATTGGTCGGGAAGCGGCTGCGGCGAATCGGAAAAAGGCGACGTGGAGCTGGCCCCACTCCACTCTACAAGCTCGAAAGTTGTAGAAGGCGAGTCGGGCTTGTGTCTCGCGTCGGCTTCAGCCACGGCGCGGAACGAGTGACGACGGGACCAGGCGAGTTCGCGGAGCGCGACGTGGAGAATGAGAACAAACGAGACAACTATGACAGCCATGCCGAGGACGGCAAAGGTGGCGTACGAGCCGTCGTCAGGAAAGTCGTTTGCCCAAAACGCAGCGCCGATGCTGAGGATGATGAGAAGGGCTACGTTGAGGCGCGTCTCGAGCACGTTATAGACGTCGGCGACAAACGGCGCGTACTTGAGCTGGACAGCGGCAAAGACTGAAAAGACACCGACGAGTGTTGTCATCAGCCATACGACGATGCGCGAGAAGAACATGACCGCCATCACAATTGCCAGCCGCTTGAATAGAAGAAGCACCTCAAACTGGTAGAATACGGGCTTGTAGAGGCGGTACAGTAGCCCGTAACGAGCTCGCACGTCCGGACTGGCGAGGCGATGTCGCGCACGGTACAGCGAGAGCGCCATGAATGCAGGCAGGCCCACGACGTACACGAAAACGGCCACGAGCGCCCACGGAAGCAGCGCCAGCCACTGCGGCGTAAAGCACTTGAAGCCGAGGTCGGCGTCGAGCACATAGTCGCCTGTCGGCAGCCGCGAGCAGTCAAAGAGCTGGAGTGCGGCGTGCGAGGACGCGATGTAGAGAACCGGACCTGCCGAGAACACCACGCGCTCGACCACAAGGCCCACCGACGGCACGCGCGATGTGCAGAGCTTGAGTAGCGGCGCCACCAATGCTGTGAGCACGATCAGGGCACCGGGTGCCACAACCGTAAACTTGTACGTTGTGGTGAACGAGAGGAGCACGCACTCGCCGCCGACGTAAGCGAGCGAAAAGTTGAGCATTGCCAGCGACTCGAGCGTCTCGCGCATGGGCGTGGGCCACACCAACGCCGTCTGTGCCACCACTGCGAGAACCTGGGCAAAAGAAGACCGGTAGAGAAGGCGCGCGGCACCCGCGACCGCGCCCACGCCTCCTCGCTTCCGACCACCACCGCAGGTGCCATCGACGACGACGCCGCCAAGACGGCGCCGACGACAGCAGCTATCACGCCCACAAACGCGATCGTGATGAAGATCCAAAACATCGTTACCATTCCGTCCGTACACTTGGCACACGCTCCGTTCGAGTGTGTGTAGTAGCCGGAGGCGCACGCCGTGCACATGAACCCCGTGGCGCCCGGGAAGCAGTTGGAGTCACCGGCGCACGACGAGGGCCTCGGGCACGCCTCGATCTGGACAACGCGACCTGTCGTGTTGCTGATGTCGATCCACCCCGGAAGCGAGCGCGGACGGGCTAGCCCGCCGTCGCACGCCGCCCCGATCGGGCACGGGATACATGTGGTATCGGCTGCTAGCGTCGGCGAGTACGTCCCGGGCACGCAATAGCAGGTCGGCGGTGTCGAGGCCTGTGACTCAGGTGCTTCGCCACGCACTGTGTTTGCCGGACAGGCCGGAAAGAGGAGACACGACTCGGTACCGTCAAACGAACCATCGGTGTACGTACCTTTGGCGCACGGCGAGCATCCGAATGGCTCGATCGACGCCGGACCAAAGCCAGCTGCGCAGGGTGCGAGGACGACGTCGAATGAGGTCGAGAGCGGCCCGTGCGTCGCAAACATGAACGGCGCCGCAAGCGCCGTCACCACGCCAGCCCGCATCCGGTGCACATGGCCCAAGCACGAGGCGTTGAACGCCGAGACAGTGATGGCCAGCGGTGTCCCGCTCGCGCCCACGATCGAATCGGTAATGCGCCGCGCTATAACGGCAGCGCACTCAGCCGGCGCCAGCGTGTCGATGTCCACGCCGACGAGCGTCGAGGGGAGTGTGTACGGGAGGCCAAACACGCTCTCCACCCGTACGACCACTTTCAGGCTGCCGCCAGCCATGATGGACGTCGCGGCATCATCCACAACCGCGACCGCAGGCGGCGACCAGCCGGACGCGAGCACACCTGTCACGCCCGTGCCCTTCACCCAACCCGGCACAGGCGCGACGCCGGACGCGGGAATGCAAATAAACACCGGTGGCTCGGATGCGTCCCACGTCCCGCTCACGGAAGCGTCCAGCGTGACGACCGCCGAGCAGGCAAAGAAAAGATCGCCGAATGTGGCCGCGTGGTCGTTGCCCACACGCGTAGCGGCATCAATGATGAGACCTGGGCTGTGGGATGCGGCAGCAAGAGAGGCGGCCGCCGCAGATGGCTCGGGCGTGAGATCGGCGGCGTCGGATGAGCCTGACACAAGAATCGTGTCCACATACACGGCGGCCGCGCCGCCAAAGTTGGCGCGCCCACCCACCATCTCGCAATCATGCAGTCGTGCGACCGCGCCGCGCTCGTTGCTTGCCACCACCACGGCGACGTGACCGCCCGCCCCCGCAGGCGAGGCGTTGCCATCAAACAGCGTCCGATACGTGTCGAACGTCGGTGTCCCGGGCACGCCAAGTTGAGGTGCGAGACAGACGGCCCCGCCAGACGCGGATGCCGTGTTGCGCGCAAACGTCGAGTCGGTGACAGTGAGTTTGGAGGGGCCCGAGACAAGGACGGCGCCGCCGCACACTGTGCTTGAGAGGAGATCAGTGCCAGCAAAGGTCAGCTGGGTCGTCGAGTCTGCGATCGAGACATTGTGCAAGTGCATGGAGCCGGCTGAGGCGACCAGCAGCCCCGGCTGTGGGACAGCGGCAAAGGAGGAAGACATGCGAAGAAGATCGATGCCCTCTAGCCGGAGAGCCGCCGTGGCGACCGCCGAGAAGAGAACGCCGGTGTGGCCGCAGTCAATCGTCGCCCTAGCGCCCCTGCCGTACCCGGGGTCGGTCGTGACCACAAGTGGGGCGCCCCTCGGCAGGATGGGCGTCGCCACGTGCGTCGACGGACAACCCGTGTACGTGATGTTGGCAAGCTCGAGCGGCTTGATGTCGTCGACGCCGCCGAGGCAATCGCCGCTGTAATGCACGACACGGACGAGCACGCCGGGTCAACGCATGTCGTGCGGAAGACCCCTTCTCGGTTCTCCATCACCCCGATCGAGTCGCTGCTTCCTCCGCCCGGGTCGCCGGTAAACACGAGATCGAGGTCGCCGTCCAAGTCGAGATCCACAGTGTGCATGTGCCGAAGAACCGCCCACGACATGACGAGTTCCGGGTCGGCGAACGTGCCGTTCCCGTGGTTGCGGTAGAGGTGGACACCGCCCGAGCCAGAACTGAAGCGCTGGAGGATGTCGAGGTCGCCGTCGAGATCGATGTCGGCGTACGTTCCGTATTGATACTCGACAGCTTTGAACGGCTCGCCGTAGGTAAACCCTCCTGCGCCGTCGTTAAAGGCCACGACGTGCATGAATGCTATGTCAGGGAGGCCGTCGCCGTTGAAATCCGGTGGCTGCTGACCACGGGCCCCGGTCACCCTGCCATCGCGAAGCGTGTCTAGATAAACAGACGTGGCGATCGGGCTTGCTGTGAACGACGTGTTGCTGCCGTCGTTGTACAAGATGTTCCACGTTGCCCCGGGCAATGCTGGGGCCACCACGTCGACAAATCCGTCACCATTGTAATCTGCAGCAGAGACGCCGTAGTACGGTTGCCTCTGCGAAAACACCGTCTCAGTGAACAAGCCCGTCCCGTCGTTCATGAGCAGAATCCATCCCCATGGCGCTCCGGAAATGGAGACCATCACGTCCATCACTCCGTCGCCGTTCATGTCATACACCGTGATGCCCTGGAACTGGGGAGCAGTCGTGACCGAGATATCGACGGGCGCAGCGTATGTGACGGCAGGAGCAGGAAGATGAACCAACAGTTTGATCGGAATGCTCCGCGTCCCGACAACCAGATCTTCCAAGCCGTCGTTGTTAAAGTCGCCCACCGCAACCGAGCCCAGCTTGTTGTTCACCCAGTACAGCTCCACGCCCGGACCAAACTCCATGTTGCCCAGGTTGGGCCAATACAGCAAGCGACCGGCATAGTGCGCCACAGCCACCACATCTGGCAAGCCGTCCAAGTTGACGTCTGTCGTCACAGGCGGCTGCACGAGCTGCATGGCGCCCGGCGGTGGAGTCAAGAGTCGCAGGTGCGGGTCAGCCGCGAAGGATGACGTCCAACACGGACGCTCACCTACCGCCCTGCCCACCGCCCCAGCGAGCACCACCCACACCAAAACCCATATGATGCGGTTGCAGCACGTACGGGAGACTTTGTCCATGTCCATGGCAGTGTGTGCGGGCGGAAGGGGAGGGTGGGTTACTTGGAGAGGTGGCTGGCTGACGAGAGAACCCCTCTGACAGGCAGAGTCAAACCACACTGACAATAAAACGGAATGCAAACGTATGATGAGCCGGCTCCGTCACGACCGCCATCTTTGCACGGCGTGCGCAACCATGACACCCGCACGAGCAAAGTCACCCCTCTCACACAGTGCCCCTCCCTCACCCACCCACCCCTTTACCTTCTAAGACACCGTCTCACGGCTTCTTCCGGGAACTACCCCACACACACACACGTCTCTGCTCCAAAGCCCCGCACTCCCACTACGCTCACAAACGTTGCAAAGGTCGGGCCCGTTCTTTTTCCAACACGGACGCTCACCTACCGCCCTGCCCACCGCCCCAGCGAGCACCACCCACACCAAAACCCATATGATGCGGTTGCAGCACGTGCGGGAGACTTTGTCCATGTCCATGGCAGTGTGTGCGAGCGGAAGGGGAGGGAGGATTACTTGAAGAGGTGGCTGGCTGACGAGAGAACCCCTCTGACAGGCAGAGTCAAACCACACTGACAATAAAACGGAATGCAAACGTATGATGAGCCGGCTCCGTCACGACCGCCATCTTTGCACGGCGTGCGCAACCATGACCATGACACCGGCACGAGCAAAGTCACCCCTCTCACACAGTGCCCCTCCCTCACCCACCTACCCCTTTACCTTCTAAGACACCGTCTCACGGCTTCTTCCGGGAACTACCCCACACACACACACGTCTCTGCGCCTGAGCCCGCCGCAGTACCAAAGCCCCGCACTCCCACTACGCTCACAAACGTTGCAAAGGTGGGGCCCATTTTTTTTTTGGTTCGCTATGTCACCCCGCCCCCCTTCTGACGAAGCCGGGCCGCACGTCCCCATGAGCCACTGGGAGCGCTGGCGCCCTGTCTACACGCTTGTTGGCTCTGAGAGCTTGGCCTTCCTTCTCCCCATCATTGTCACCATTATTCTCTCTCTCCTTGTCCGCTCGGCCTTTGATCGCGTTGTCGACGAGGCCAAGGACGACCTCGGCTCAAACGTTGCCGAAGTCGTCTCGCGCCTTGTCGAGGACTTTGTCGCATCAATCTTTACCTTTAAGAACACTGTCCAGCAGGCGGTTGCCCTCGGATGGTTCTCCGGCGACACTACTGAATCAGGCTCGCGCGAGTGGTCGTCGATGATCTCCATGCCGTTCCACACGATGTCCGAGTCGATGGCCCTCTACCAGGTCCTCCCGGGCCCGTCGCGCAAGGTCATCAAGCTCATTTCCGACGACAGCGGCGCCACCCTCGGCCTTGAGGAACGTATTTACGTCAATGCCTCGTACCAGTACCGCCGCAAGGCGCTGATGGATGTCGCCTCCCCACCGCTGACCATCTCATTTGGCGACGACACCGTCAAGTCGTATGACCCATGGGAGAAGTCGTGGTACAAGACCGCTGTTGCCGCTGAGGATCAGGTCTGGAATGGCCCTGTCCTCTCTGCCACCGCCGAGACCCGCGACGAGCAGATCATCGAGCTTCTCTTCCGCGCCCAATGGCCTGCAGGCACCGCACACGCCGGCGAGTATTCGGCCTTCAAGTACAAGATGCGCCTAAAGGCCGTCTCGCGCATCCTCAAGCGCCTGCAGAACCGTCTGACGCGTGACTCGATTGTCGTTGTCGCCAAGAACGACGGCAAGGTCCTCGGCCTCATGTGGTTTGGCGTCGAGTCGCCCATCGCGTTTTCCTCCGCCACCCTTGGCAACGCTACCGACGGCTCTGCTGCCGACATCGACTTCAAGACCATTTCCCAGTTCCCGTACCCGCTCTCGCTCATCGCCGACTCGTTTGTTGCCGGCCTCAACTTTGAGACGCGCACGCTCCAGCTCGACGACGACTACCTGGTCTTCGCCCAGCGCTTCAATGCCGGCCTCCTCGACTGGAATGTCATCGCCGTCGTCAACGAGAAGAACATCATTCCGGGCCTCAACAAGTTTATGTCCATGCTCCAAGCAGTGCTCATCGTCTCGGTCGTCGTCTACACCTTCCGTGGCTGTGTCTCGGCCGTCATTGTCGGCTTCCGCATTCGCTCGCTCATTCACACCAATCAGGTCATTCCCAGCTCGCGCGTTGTCTCGATGACCAACCTGGCGTCCAAGCGTGGCCTCCACAACCCGCCGAACCCGGCCATTGCTCTCTCGGGCTCGCCGCACTCTTTCGGCAGCTTCGCTGTCGGCTCGGACGCCGCAATGGACTCGTCGCTCTCCGACGGTTCGCCGGACCCGCACAACCGCGACCAGGCCATGCTCTCGCACATGACCGTCGCCTCGCCCAATGGTTCCAGTGCTGCCCTCGTCTAATTGCGCTCGTGGTCTCTTCCCTGTACCTTCATTCTCCTATAACACCACCATCATCACCGCTGCCGCCGCAAGGCCTGCCACTGCCACTACGGTCGTGTGCGCCGCTCGTACCGCTGACGAGCTCGCTCCAGTCACCTCCAGGGTCTCCACCGTCGCCAGTGAGTCGTACGAGTCGCTCGCTACCTTGAGCTCGCCCTGCCCGCCAAGCACGTAGATCGACGAGCCGTACGCCGCCGCCGCGAACCGGAACCGCTCGTCGGGAATCGGCGTGTCGAGCTCCCACGAGTCGGTGCTCGGGGTGTAGACCTCGACCTCGACGATCGGATACGAGTACTTGCTGCAGTTGGTTGTCGCGTTCTTCTTCTCGCCGCCCATCACAAACAGCTTGCCGCCCACCGCCACAAACGCCTTGTCGCCGCGCCCATGTGCCAGCGCCGCCCGCGCCCGCCACGTGTTGGTCGTCGGGTTGTACTCGTCGAGTGCCCCAACCGGCGCGCAAAAGTCGGTTCCCGAGAAGCCGCCAAACACGTACCCACGTCCGTCGAGCTCTGCACATCCGAGATCGCCGCGCGACGACGGCATGTCGGTCGCGCTCGCCCACGAGTCGGTCGCAGCGTCGTACGTTGCCACGCTCGCGAGCGTCTCGTACGCCGCCGTATACCCGCCAACCACGTACGCTTTTCCGCCGCTCACAAACGAGCAATGGTCCGATCGCGGCGACGGCAGCGCTGCCGCCAGCGTGCTCCAGCTCCAGCTCGCCACATCGTCCGCTGAAGCGTCGAGCACGTCGACCGCCGTCACCAGGTTGTCACTCACATCGCGCCCGCCAAACACATACACCTTCGATCCAAGTGTCACCGACGAGCCGCGGTACCGCTCGCGCGGCGCAGCCGGGCCGTAGCTCCAGCTATCCGTCGCCGTCGCCAGCACCTGGACCTGCGCCGTAACATTGGTGCATCCACAAAAGCTCCCCGAGCATGTCTGGCCACCGGAGCACCCGCCCACCACAACAATCCGGGACCCGATCACCGACGCCGAATGGTCACTGCGCCCAACCCAGCCCAGCCCAGTCCAGCAGCCCAGTCCAGCCCAGTCCATCACACCCGCCCATTACGCCCATTGCACCCGCCCATCGCCCCGACCATGAGTATGCCGCGGGGGCGTGCGCCACGTCAAATGGATGTCGGTGGTGGAGCAAGTGCCATCCCTCCTCCCGCTCCACCCCCCCTCCCTCCCTCCCCATCCCACCCTCTGCAACACGCACACAGCTAGCAGCGCCCTATCAACACACAGCCACACATGCTTCATACCACATACCTCACTGCAAGGAGCATCGAGTTCTTGGTAGTCCATGTATCCATGGCTACCACCGAGTACACCACCGCCGTGAGGCAGAGCAAAGCAATCGTGACACGCATCGAACGTTCGAAAGGGGAGGAGTGAGCCTTGTCCTCGTCACTGCCAGAGCCATCATCGCCATTGCCCTCTCTCTCCCCCTTTCTCCCTCTCTCTTTGTCGGCCAAAGACCACGCATCCGCAACAGGCAACTCGCCGACTGACCGTCACCCTCCCCCGCCCACCCACACACACACACACACACACACACACACACACACACCTCTACCACCCCTGCCATCATCCTCCATGGCCTCGGCAACTGTTCTGGTCGTCGGGTGTGGCCGCCTCGGGCCCATGGTGGCTGCCGAGCTCGCTCGGTTCGACGTCGACGTCATGTGCTTCGACGCGGCTCAGTCAGCGCTCGCCAGCACATGCTCGCGAATCCGGACCACGCTGGAGGAGACGGTGGCGTACCATCTGCTAACCGAAGACGACATTCCGCGCATCATGAGCCACGTCCATATCGCGCCGGACGGCGCGTCGCTCGCCTCGCTCGCCAATTTGCTCCCGCAGCTCCAGTTTGTCATCGAGGCCGTGTCGGAGGACGCCGAGATCAAGACCCGCGTGCTCGGCGAGGCCGACAGGGTCTTTGACAAGAGCGTCATCATTGCAAGCAACACCCTATCGGTCAACATTGACACCGTGGCAGCGAGCCTGACGTCTGCGCCCGAGCGCCTGCTCGTCTGCCGCTTCCTCGCGCCGGTCCTCTTTATCCCGCGTGCCGAGCTCGCTCCGTCGAATCTCACCTCACACAAAACATACCGCACAACCCAGACGTGGCTGGAGAAGATGGACAAGCTGCCGTTTCTCCGCCGTATTGGCTACCGCATCCTCTCCATGGACGATGTCGCCCGCTACCACACCGAGCACCGCGAGAACCACGGGCTCATCGCGCCCGACACCGATCCGCGGCTGCGACTCGACTCGGCGACCTCGCACCCGTCCGATGCCGATGCCGACGCCACCGCAACTGAGACTGCCATCGCCGTCAACATTACGCCGCAGGCCGGGCCCCGCAACGCCTGGCCGTATCTTGGCGACTTTGGCCCGTACTCGGTCCGCATGTCCGCGTTCAACTCGGGCGAGCTGCACCCGATTCCGGTCGCGACACCGTCCGGCGCCGGCGGCACCCTTGCCTTTGCTACACACTCTACCACCGTTACCATCGATTCCAAGCTAACCGTCATCGAGTGGCCTGCCTTGCATGTGTGCTCCAACTTGGCGTCCGGCTCGTTCGCCACGGTCTACTCGGCCGTATACCTCGGACTGCCGGTTGCCCTCAAACTTCTCGAGCCGCAAGAGACCGACTCGATTGCCCGGGTCGAAAACTACGTCGAGGAAGCCGACATCCTCTCGCGGCTCCGCCATCCCAACATCTGCCTCATCATCGGCGTGACCGCGTCTACGTCCACCACCCCGCGTCTCGGCCTCGTCATGGAGCTGCTTGCCGGCGGCTCGCTCGCTCACCAGCTCAAGCTCCGCCAGGGCCCTCCACCTGTCCTGCTCGACCCTGTCGACGTTTGGCTCATCATCCGCGACATTACCCGCGGCCTCGTCTATCTCCACGCCCGCGAAATCGCCCACCGCGATCTCAAGCCTGCCAACATTCTTGTCGATCCGCGGGGCATGGTCAAACTGACCGACTTTGGCGTCTCCGGCGCCGGAAATTCACTGCAACGCGGCTGGACGCCACGGTATGCTGCGCCCGAGGTCCACATCGGCGCTCCTGCCGACTACTCGGCAGACATCTACTCGCTCGGCCTCATCGCTGCCGAAGTCGCCACCCTCAACAAGCCGCCCATCCGCTCCGACAACGCCTACTGTCTTCCTGAACCTGTCGGCCTCACCGAAGATCTCAACAAGCTGTACAATGACTGTGTCGTCGTCACCTCCTCCAATGATCGTCCAAAAGCCGCCAAAGTGCTCTCCGCTGCAGACTCGGCCCTCGCTGCCCTACTTCCCTCTCCGGCCACCGCCCACTTTACCAACCTTGGCCACGACGTCTTTGTCGACATTGTCTCGTCTGCCGACACCCGCCCTGACATCGGCCCGTCGTCCTCATCACCACTCCCCATCCATCCATCAACACCATAAACCGCTGCCCGCCCGCATCTCCCCGCCCGCCGCCACGTGGTAGCGCGACTCGAGCCCGTTCCGGAACCGAATCCAAACAGCTCTTCGCCTCGCCTCCCTCCTCCCTCTCTCCCCCCACCACACACACACATCTACACATACACACATACACACCTCCCCCTGATGGCCCTCCTCCGCCGTGGTGTGTACTCGATGGTGTGGGGCGCGCTCCAGGTCCCGCTCGCCACGCCGCTCGCCCGGGTCTTTATCAAGCCGCGGACGCCTGCATTTGACCGCATTGCCGCCCGCGATGCCGGCCACGCCAACGACAGTCCGGCGTGGCAGGGCATGGCGGCCGAGATGGCCACCGGCCTTGCCGACGATCTGGTTGAGGAGCTGCCGTCGAGTGGGTGGGCCTTTGATCCGGACGCGGCCTGCTGGACGCCTGCGCCGCCGAACGCGCCTCCCTCGGCCGCCGAGCCCGATGCTGATCCTACGACGCTGCGCTCGCTCACGTTGCTCACCTACAACGTGCTCATCCAAAACTATGACGATGTAGTGCCGGGCGTGACCCGGGCAGACGCTCGCTGGTCCGCCATCGTCGCTTACCTCGCCGAGGTCGACGCCGACATCGTCTCGCTCAACGAGATCACGCCGGCGTTCCTGGACTTGCTCGGCGCCGACGAGTTTGTGCGGAGCAAGTATGTGATGAGCGAGGTCTCGGCATCGTGTGTAGGCGAAGACTGCGAGGCTCCCATCGAGACCACTATCGAGCCGCACGGCGTTGTGGTCCTCGTCGCCCGCCGCCTGGCGCTCGTCTCGCTGCACGCAGTGCGAAGCCGGCTACTGACCCGCAAGCCATCGCGAGTGGCCGAATCGTCCAGTCGCGCCTCGATTGTTGCTCGCATTGCGCTTGCAAGCGGCAAGTCCGTTGCAGTTGTTGGCACCCACCTCCAGGCCCGCGCCCCAAACTACGTCCCGCGCCGCCAGCAGCTGCGCGACCTGTACCGATTCCTGGACATTTCTGGTGACGCTGCACCGAGCTCCGAGGCAGGGCGCACGCTTGCTGTCGACCAGGCTGTCATTCTCGGCGACTTTAATCTGCACCAGGAGGCCGAGTCGGCCATGATCGAGGCGCCGTACGTCGACGTGTGGCCGCTGCTCCGGCCGGATGCGTCGCCGGAGGACGGCTACACATGGGACGGGCGGACAAACACTGTCATTGCCGCCATGTGGTGCAAGTGCGATACCCGCCGCATGCGCCTAGACCGGGTCATTGTCTCGCAGGGTGCGTCCGACCCGCTGCGTCCGGCCTCTATCGAGGTTGTCGCCAAGAGCCAGCTGCCGTCGGCCTCGTACTTTGACCCGGGTCTTCACATGTCTGATCACTATGGACTCGCTGCCACCTTTACCCTTGTCTAGGCCTGCCGCTGCTACATGACTCCAATAACAAAGCTACGACGAGGCCCCGCCGAGCATGCCCATGACCGCCGCCAGCGACTCGCTGTCACCGGCGCCGGCGTCGACCGAGGCCTGGATTGAGTCGGGCAGCGCGCCGTACTTGTCGTGAAGCTGAGTGAGAAGCTCGAGGACCTTGGACGCCGGCGACGGGTCGGCCTCGAACGCAGCGTCGATGGCCATAAAGACCTGGTGCTGGCCCTCGAACCGCGCCCGGTCTTCTGCCGAGAGCGCGAGACCCTCAGCCGAAGCGAGGAACGGAGGATAGAGGTTGCCGACCTCGCGGATCGGCTCCTGCAAAAGGTCCTTGTGGATGAGCGGCTTGAGGAGGGCGTCGAGCATCGACGCCAGACCCTCGTCACCAGCGAGCGACTCCCACGCCTCCTTGGCCTCGCCGCCCTCGCCGGCCATCATCTTCTCCAGATCCGGCATGAGCTCGTTCATCTCCTTGGCCATCTTCTCCAGCTCGGGCATCTGCTCCATCAAGCCCTTGAACTCCTCGCTCAGATCCATACCCTCCAGCTCCTTTGCCCGCGCCGCATCCGCCGCAGCCGCAGCCTGTGCATCCGCTCCAGACATGGCGCCCACCGTCGCCTGTGCCATCGACTCGACCGCTGCCCGCAACGCCTCATCCGCCCCATCCGCTACCGCGCCCGTGTCCGGCCCAGCTCCCCCCAGCATCGCGTCCAGCACCGAGTCAAGCACCGCGTCCATATCCTTACCAGCACCCGCCGCACCCGCCGCACCCTCCGCACCTGCGCCTTGCCCAGCGCCCGCACCCTCAGCCTCGCCCTTTCCCTTGCCATCCCCATCGCCATCGCCATCACCATCACCGTCGCCGGCGCCAATGCCAACGCCCTCCCCAGGTGCAAACAGCTCCAGATCGTCCAGTGCATCTGCACACACACACACACACACATACATACATACATACATACATACACCCGGCCCATGCCACAAGCGCATCCACCTCGGTGAGCCATTCCTCCCCCCCTCCCCTCCACCCCCCCACCCCTACCCACACCCCCACCACACACACACACATTCCACACATACTCTCCAGGAGCGAGTCCAGGTCAGGGTTCGGGTCCATGGTGCCACCTGCCGTCAAGCTGCTGGCAAGCCAAGTGGCCTCGGTCTCGGCAGGAAGCCTTGGCCCTCTCACCGACCGCCGACTGGCCGCCCGCTTCCTCCTCCCGGACGCACTCTCCACACTTCCTTTTCCCATCCCTTCTACACCCCCATGGATGACAGCCCCAGCAGCCAGCCACGACATGTCCATGATCTCTTGGCCTCTCATCCCATGCATCGATCTGAAGCTTGTCGCTACCGCTCAGATCAGCCCTTCTCTCATCCAGTCTCCCCCCCATCCCCTCCTTTCAATTTCACTGATCACATCGCTGATGACAGGCAGCACGCACCCCCCCCCACCCCCACCCCCAGGGCCATCCCCACCATCCCCCCACTACCCCCACATACACACACACATACATACACATACATACACCAAACACACCCATCGCTTGCCCGTCATGATGGTGGCCACTCACTCTGTCTCTTCCTCTCTCTTCGCCTCATTAGCATCTAAAATTCACATGGCCACCCCCACCCCCACTCCCACCCCCCACACACACTCACACCCATTCCACTCCACCAACTCCCCACATGAAAGACATCGCTCCCCCGCTTGCTGACCCCACCACTAGCCCGACTCAACAGCCTTCAGATTCGCCGACGCGTGTCAACGAGGCCGCCAAGTCAACGGCGTCGAGCAACGGCTGCAACGCCCAGGACGCCACATGGTCCTGGCTTATTGCCTTTGCCGTTTCTCTCCTCGCGGGCTTTGCCTTTGGCTTTGCCATGCAAAAGTCATGGGCGTTTGATCCGTTTATCGTCCGCCGCCAGTTTGCCTTTGCCAATTGGATCATGATCAAGGTCTTTGCTGCTGCCGGCGCATCGACGGCCTTTGTCCTCGTCGCTGTCTCGTACCTCGCTCCAACCGCCTTTGCTGCCGTCATGGACGGTGCGTACACCAATGATCGCGGGATGGTCTCGGCCTTTGTCGGCGGCGCTCTCATTGGTGTTGGTGGCTTTGTCATCGCTGGCTCCTGCCCGGGCACCGTCTTTTCCCAGCTCGGCGCCGGCGTCCTCACCTCGCCGCTCACCTTTGCTGGTGCCATCGTCGGCACGCTTGTCTACGGCCTCGTCCACCCTTATCTCACCGGCGAAGCCCGCACCGCCAAGGCCTCCATCGTCGACGCCGCCAGCGCGGCCGAGGACGGCCAGTCCGCTGACGCAGCTCCGGCCAAGCCGCTCAACCTGCTCACCTATGGCCAGCTCACCCCGCCACGCTCGACAAGTACTTTGGCGTGCCGTATCCCGCCATCGCCGCCTCGCTCGGCACCATCTTCCTTCTCCTTGTCATTGTCCTCGAAATTGTCGTTCCGGCCAACAACGACCTTCCGGCCGGCACCACTGTCGAGCACGACTGGGTCCTCGCCAAGCGCGCTTGGCCGGCGTGGGCCTCCGGCCTCGTTCTTGGTTCGATCCAGATCCCGCTCATCCTCGTCCTCCACAAGACGCTTGGCACCTCGACTGCGCTTGTCGCCTTCATCTCCACCTTTCTCTCCCTCCTTCCTGCCGCCGCCCTCGACAAGCCCTCGCTCGCCTACTTCAAGGGCAAGCACATCGGGCGTCGCCCGGGCTACACCCTCATCTTTGCCCTCGCCGCCGTCATCGGCTCGCTCTCCTCGGCCTACTTTGGCGACTCGTTTGCTGAGCTGCACGGCGTCCACCCGGCCGGCGCCTTCTTTGGCGGCGCGCTCATGCTCTTTGGCGCCCGGCTCGGCGGCGGCTGCACCTCAGGCCATGGCATCTCGGGCACTGCCAAGCTCCAGTGGGCCTCGTTTGCCTCGTTTGCAGGCATGTTTGGCTGCGCCGTCCCGCTCGGCCTCCTCTGGGAGTACGCATAGGTCTACCAGAGCAGTGCGCTGTTTGTTGCTATCCTGCACCTCTACTCTTATCAAACGAAAGCAAGTGTGATTGACTACGACGACGACTCTTCGTCCGAGCCCGAGTCCGAGCCCGAAGCAGAGGCCGAGCCGGAGGCCGAGGCCGAGCCGGAGGCCGAGCCAGAGCCCGAGGCCGAGGCCGAGGTCGAGCCAGAGCCCGACGACGACGACGACGACGAGCCAGCGGCATCAGCCGCGTTCTGGACCGCACCGACGAGGCCAGCCGCAAACTGCTCCGGCTTCATGGCCTTGTGGCCAAGGAGGGCCGGCAGGTCCGACTTCTTGTTGTTCAGCACCGACGAGCCGTCGTTGATGGCGTCAAAGAGCTCAAGAACGCCGTCAACCTGCCACTCGGGCATGCCCATGCCCATGAACGACTCCTTGGCGTCGTCGTTGGAGACCTGGACGTGCTCGACCGAAGTGCCGATGGCCTTGCCGAAGATCTTGGCGAGCTTGGCCTCGGTCACCTGCGCACCGGTCAGCTCGTACGTCTGTCCCACGTGCTCCGCAGGGCGGAGCAGGATGTTGGCCACGGCCTCGCCGACGTCGGCCACAGCCACTGGCGTGTACTTGGCCTTGGACTTGAGCGGCGAGTACATCTTGCCCTCCTTGGCAAGGCTCGCAACATGCCCAAAGTTGTTCTCCAGGAACAGCGGAAGCCGCACAATGGTGTACGGCACGCCGGCCTCCTTGGTCGCCTCCTCGATCGGCGCAAACTGGTCACCAAAGACCGTGCCGTCAGCCTCGGCCGTCGAGACCGAGAGCACGACAAGGTGCCCGACCTTGGCCTTGACCGCAGCCTTGATCGCCTTCTTCGCCAGCTTGGTCCGCTTCTTGTGTCCGGGCACAACTACAAACACCGCATCGGCGCCCTTGAACAGCTTCTTGGTCGAGATGACCTCGCCCATGTCGGCCTCGTCGACCTCGACGTTGTCGGCCTCAAGCGCCTGCGCCGCCTCCGACTCGGGATCGCGCACGCCGGCAACAATCTCGGTCTTGCCATCGGCCGCAGCCACAAGCGCCTTGACCGTCGCGCTGCCAACAGAGCCCGAGGCTCCGATGATGGCCACACGCTTCGACTTCTTGCCACCCTTGGCCTCCTTCTCCTTCTTGGCCTTCTTCTCCTTCTTGGCCTTCTTCTCCTTCTTGGCCTTCTTCTCCTTCTTGGCCTTGCCCGCCTTGCCCGCCTTGCCAGCCTTGCCAGCCTTGGCCGCCTTCTTGCCCTTGCCCTTGCCCTTGCTCTTGTTGCTGCCAGAGCCAGACGCCGAGCCCGAGGCCGACGCAGCCGACGACGCCACAGACGAAGCAACCGACGAGTCCGCCGACGAGTCCATAGACGAGCTCTTCGCTGCCTTCTTGCTCTTGCTAGCCTTCTTTGCCATCTTTCTTCTCTGAATATTCAGTGATGTGTACCTCCTCTTCTCTCTCGGGCCCTCTCACAACGGCTACTGTGAGCCGCATCCGCGACCCGCCAAGCCATTTTCCCCGCATCCAGTACGTTGCATCGGTCGCTTCCGTTGACCATTCACGCGCGTACAAAATTTGGCCTGGCCACTCTCTTGCCCACTTTGTCCACTTCTCCTCTCCCCCCCCCTCCCATCTCTGCCGGAAAAAAATTGTCTCTGTACTCTCCCCCCACCCCCCCACCCCTCTATCTCCCCAATGGACGACTCGCGCGCTCGGCTCTTTGCCCGGCTCGACAACCGCGCAGCGGCGCGTGCCGAGGCAGCAGCGTCGTCACGGGCAGAAGCAGCGGCAGAGGCTAACCCGGAGGAGGACGTAGCTGCGTTTGAAGTCGAGCTTGCCACAGCCTCTGCTGCTGCCGAGGCCGCTGTCGCCGCCGCAGAGGCTGCCCCGCTCGACCACCTCGCCCTCGCCGCCGCCGTCTCGGCCCTCAACACCGTCGTCGAAGTCGTGACTAACGCCGCAGGCTTTGCCCCTGTCGCGCTCATCGGCGCCGGTCAGGCAGCTGCCAAGGCTCTCGACGATCGCATCGCGACCATCCGTGCCGCAGCCGCAGACTCGACCGTCTTCTCGTTCTCGTCCCGCCGGAAGAAGGCCAAGGGGAAGAGGAAGAAGAAGAAGAAAGAGAAGGCCCAGGTCGACCCACCGGGCGCTGCCGAGAGCCTTGCATGTGCCGATCGCGCTGGGCTGGACGATGCTCGCGACGAAGTCGCGGCCTTTGGCTCGGCGGCGGCGCCCGATGCCTCGGCCCCGTTCACCTACGTCAACCTCACCGCTGGCGACTCACCGCTGGTCATCGAGGCCTCGGACGAGCTGGCGAGCTCCGAGGTGACCATTGCCGACTCGGCCGGTGTTGCTGTCACCCTTCACGGCCCGCTTCGTGCCCTGTTTCTCACCCGGCTCACGGACGTCACTGTCACCGTCGTCGGCGCGCCGGGCGTCGCCTCCTCGGTCCACGTCAACGCCTGCACCCGCTGCACCTTTGTGCTCACCACGGCTCAGCTCCGCATCCATGACTCGACCGCCTCTTCGTTTGCCACCTACGTTCGTGCAGGGCCCATCATCGAGCGCTGCTCAGACCTGGTCTTTGCGCCCTACCCGCACGCCTCGGCCTCGGACGCTGGCTACCACGCCACACCTGACGAGTGGCGCAATGTCCACGACTTTGACTGGCTCAAGTCCACGCCATCGCCCAACTGGCGCCTCGCGTGAACCGCTTTACCTCACACCACCTCCATCGACCGCAGCACCATCGCCACCACTCCGGCGGCGGCGACCAGTCCCACCATCACTCCCGCCCAGCTGAACCACGACGTGCCGCCCACCGAGGCCGCGGCCGTGCTCTCAGCACTCGCCACCCTCGGCCCGCCAGCAAAGCAGGTGGCCGCCACGTCGCGCCCCGAGCTCAGCGCCTCCTGCACGCACCCGACCTGGACGTCGAGGAGCATGTTGCGCTTCTGCGAGGCCGCCACCTCGGCCGATAGCTCCCGCAACGCCCGCTGCGTCGCTACCAGCGTCACTTGCATGGCCGCCAGTTGGTCTTGCCACTCGGAAAACTGTGTCTCGAGCGCCCGGTGCTCGTCTACATACCACGTCGACCGCTCCGGCACTTGGTGCCGGCCCGCGTCGTCATCAAACAAGCTTGCCACCTGCCACTGCTCCACAGACGCCTGCAGGCTCGCCAGCCGACCAGACACTGTCCACAACATGAGCCCGAGGCCGAGGACGACACAGACCAGCGCACCGAGAACGGCAACGCCCGCAGGTGACGAGAAGAGCGAAGCCGCGCCGTCGCTTGTCAAAGGCCTCAGGGTCTTGCCTCCCTCACCTGCCGGCGAGCTCCGCCGCGATGCGCCACCAGACTTGCGGTTGCGTGCCCGCCGGACAACCGAGACCGCCCGCCGCGCGCTCCGCGGACGCATCGACTTGACCCGCTTCTTGCCTCCACTCCCGCTTCCATTCGCTGCGCTTGCCGCCCCACTCGCTGGCTTGAGCCGTGCCGCGTTCCGCTCCGCCACCTTGCGCTTGAGAAACTCGAGCCATGTCAGCATGTACTCCTTGGTCCGCGCCGTCGCCGCCTTTTCGATCGTCGACTTGAGCCACGTCGACTTTTTCCACTCGATCTCCGATGAGACATTGACCCGTGTCGTCGTCGCCGACAGCGCCGTGAAGCAGTACCGGTTGTGGATGACAAAGTGGTCGGCGTACGGCACGTTGGCCGAAATCGTCACCCCATCCATCACCGCGCGTGCTGCGTTGCATCGCACCTGGACCTGAGTCTCGGTCACAGACGCCGTCTTAGTCCCCAGCGGTGACTTGACCGTCTGCTTGAAGCTTTGCACACGGCTCGGCCGCCCGCCCTCCGCTGCGCTCGGCGCCCATGGACCCTCAAACGCCAGGTCCGTGTTTCCAATCTCGTCAAAGAGCTCTTGCTGAAAGCTCGAGCTGTCGCCGAATATGAGCTCCCACAGCCCCTCCACCGTCACCGCCAGCTCCACATCCTTCACGTGGTCGTGCTCGTGGTGGTCGTCCGGAGCACACCCGCAGCCGAGGAGCGAGGCATTGGACAGCGGGAACTCGTCCCATCCAGGCTTGCGGGGCGTCACGGTGCTGGTAGCAGGTTCGGGTGCCCCTGCTGAGCCGCCGCTGCTGACGCCCGCGGCCGCTCCGCCGTCGCTGCCCGTGCCGGTCCGGTCGCTTGCGAGAGTGAGCGTGATGTCTGGCGTTGCTGGACGCGTCGCTGCCGAGCTCGCGCCCGACTCGCTGCCCATGGTCGAGTCGATGCCCGAGAGCTCCGACTCGGTCCGCCCCTCGCCAATGCCGCCGCCTACACCGCCAGCAACCTCACCGGCAGCTTGCCGCGCCGCGTTCTCCAGCGCGATGCGTGGCATCGACACTGCCATGCGCGGCCCGGCGCCTGCCGGGAGGCTGGACGCGCGTCGCGGCCCGGCGTCCGCCGCCGCAACAGGCCCCGACGGTGCCCCTGCCTCGGCCCGGGGGTGGAGCTCGTTGCCCGTGTCGGAGCCGCTCCCGCTCGCGGCACGTGACGACCCGTCGCCGCCCGACGCCGAGCCACCATCGTCGGCCACCTCGACGTATTCGTACTCGTACTCGCTCGATCCGTCGTCAGCCGTCAGCGCCGAGCCGCCCGAGACACCACCGTCGTCAGACGAGCCGTCGATCGACGGCGCAGCCGAGCCGCCAGGCGTCGGCGCCTTGAACTCCTGCAGCCCAAACTGGATGTTCGGGATCGAAGAGCTGAGCGCAAACGGCGCGGCCGACGATCGGCGAGCACGCTCGCCGTTGGCCTCGGCCTGGCTCTCACGAAGAATGTAGTCGTCAATCTGCGACTTTGACATGGAGAGCATGGTCTCCACCGGAATGGGCTCGTCCGACGTGGCGTTCTTCCACAGAAAGGTGAGGGTACGAAAGGCGGAGTCGCGGACGATAAACGAAGCGAAAAAGTACTTGTCCTTTCTCCTTGTGCGAATGGCGATGGCATTGGGGAAGACCAGAGCAGCATTGCGCTTCTCGATGGCCACAATCTCTGCAAACGGAATAATGACGAGCGTGACCCAACCAAAGACCGTGGCACAGAACGAGACATAGTTCTGCGACACGTACATCCGCCCATGCACAAGCACATCCCGCTGAAACGCACACGTGTAGTCTATGTCACCAAACCCACACCCACCCACGCCCATGCCCACACCCACCCACGTAGTCGTAGGTACATCCATCACCGCCTTTGCCATGAGTCACAGTCACCCATGCCCCCTTCCCCTCCCCCTCCCTCCGCCCGCGACACGACCTACCCTGAATGAGCTGCTCCGAGGTGGGGAGGTTAAACTGCTCACGGAACTCGGCCTCGCGACCTCTGGCCTTGGCCTTGCTCTTGGCCTTGGCCTTGGCCTTGTCCTTGGCCTTGGCCTTGGCCTTGGCCTTGGCCTTGCTCGGCTCGCGGCTGCTGCGTCCACTCGTCCCCGCAGAGCCGGACATGATGGCAAGTCGAGTGGTCGTGGCTCTGGCTCTGGCTCGGGAGTTACTGTCATGTGATCAACGGTTTACGATGCGCCGCCAACAGGAGGCTCGTCATCATCCGAGTCTGGAAGCGGCTCGGGAATGATGTGCGAGGTCATCTTCTTGGCGTTGTCGGTGGTCTTGTCAAAGAGATCCTTAGCCAGCGAGGTAACGACACGGGCCGAGGCCGAGAACTCGCCGAGCGAGGTCTTGGCCGAGGCAGTCATGTCGCGGGCCGACTCGGAGAGCTGGCGGGCCGACTCGGAGATCTTGCGGGCAAACGGATGGGCGATGAGCTTGCGAATGGGCTCGCGCTGGAGAGTGGCCTTGAGGTGCTTCTCGATGCCGCCGACCGAGCGCTCGGCCTCACCGTACACCTTGTGCATGTGCGGCTTTTCGACGAGGATGACAAACATCCAGTGGCTGATCTGCGAGAACATGGCGAGGAAGACGACGGCTGGCTCGTTGGCCAGCACCGCGAGCCCGTAGTACCCAAGGTAGCCGGTCACCGAATCCGGGTTGTTGAGGAACCGATAAATGCCGGTGTACTCGGGCTCGCGCGACGGGAGCGGGAGGAAAAAGTCGGCGTAGAACCAGCCGTACTCGCCGAGCACGTCGAGCGACGACCGCGCTGACCAGAGGTTGATTGCGAGGAGGATGGCTGCCGTCGGGATGCGGAACAGGAGCGGGCCAAAAGTAAACGTCGGTGCCGACCACTTGACGCAGAGTGCGGCCACAAGGAACGAGGCGTGCGCGAGAACAAGCGTCAGGTTGTAGATGTGCTTCCAGTTGTTGAAAGCCTGCACACGGTCAAGCCCGCGCGCCGCAGACTGCCGGATCCACCAGTCGCTCGCCGACTGGGCAGAAAGGATGCCGCCGGTAAGCGTCACGTGCACCAGCCGCCAAAACAGCGCGAGGCAGAGGTAGAACGCCGACGAGAAGCCAAAGAGCGAGAGCGAGAGCGTGTACCCCACAAGCAGGACCGTCGCCACATCGAGCGCCCGCATCGGGTTGAGGTTCGCCAGCACAATGAGGTCCTGCGCAAAGTACGCCTCGAGGCCCGCCGGGTTGCGCACCGGCGCCTCCGGCCCGGTCCCGTACGTCTTGTCGATGTGCGGCGTCTCGACGAGCGCCAGGAACACAAGCTGCGCAATGTGCCCGAGCAGCGAGACGTACAGCACCGTGTACGAGTGCGACATGAGCGCAAGCCCATAGTAGAACCCGTACCCAACCGTGTACATCGGATGCGGGAACATCTCAAAGACGCCGTCAAAGACAAGCTCGAACGAGTCGTCGCCACCGGCCTCGCTCCCGGTCTCCGAGCCCGAGCTCGAGCCCGAGCCCTTGGGCTTGGGTGGAAAGTAGAGGAGGAACCAAAAGTCACCCCAGAACCACGCAAAGTCCTTGACCACACGCAACGCGTCCTTCTTGGCCCAGAACGAGAACACGATGAGCGCGAGGCCGAGGACGTAACGAATCACTGCCCAAAAGCCGACCGACACCGGCGCCTCAAAGTACCGGAAGCAGAACACAAGGTGTGCCGCCGCGTCAAGGTTGAGAACAATGTCTGCCAGCTCGCGGTAGACGAGCCATGACTGGCACTCGATGGGGACAGAGTCAAAGTCAAACGGCTGCCCGGCCTCCTTGTACCGTGCCGAGCCGGACATGGTGCCAACCACCCAGTAGCGGGCGTACTTGTAGAACATGGCCTCAACCTTGGTCGCGCTCCCGGCCTCGACCTTGGCCCGCAGATCGCGCCACCCGCGGGTAAGCGTCCGCCGCTGCGACTGGTTGCGGAGGAGAATGCCCAGGAATAGGTCGTACCCGAGCCGCCAGAACACGTACGCGCCGATGACCATCCAGCCCGGCGCCACAATGGCGTTGATGATGACGCCGACCACCAGCGCGAGCCGAAGGTACTCGGACGCCGACCACGAGCCAAAGTCGAGCGCGCGCTCGAGCGAGTCGCGCGTGTCCGGCACCACAAACACTTCCTTCTTGCGGGTGATCCCGAGCTGCACGCCCTCAGGCCACTCGGTCTCATCCACTCCAGTGTTGGCCACTACCTCGCGCGCACCCTCTGCCGTCGTGCTCGCGCCAGCCTCCTCGCCCGACTTGCGCTGCCGCAGCATGCTCGAGCCGGTCACCACCTCGACAGCTCCACCACCACCAGCCACAGCAGGGGCAGCCTCGGCACTCACACCACCAGCACCAACACCAACACCAGCACCAACACCAACACCAGCATCAGCACTGCCACTCAGGCCTGCATCCGCCACAGCAACAACATCAGGAGAAGAAGACATGCTCGATTCTCGACTCCACTTCAAATCCTTGGTCAGCTCGCTGCCACTCAAAGTGTCCGACGCGAGCGACGGCGAGTGGGAGGGAGGGAGGAGGGGGGGGGAAGGGGGGGAAGGGGGGAAGGGGGGGGGGGGGAGAGGTTATTCAGATGAGGCCGTTCGTGGCGTACAACGACCTTGTACCACAATCAAGCACACAAAGGGATGTGTTGGGAGAGCTTCGGTCTCTTCCACTGAGCGAGTGGTGTGGTGGGGTGGGTAAGAGGGGGGGGAGGCGACGGAGGGAAAGTTGACTGGCGGGGGATGTGTTGTTCTCGCGGTGGGAGGATGGGGGGTGGGGGGTGGAAGGAGACAAAAAATTGTCGAGGCGAAACACTTGGAGGACCAACACTCGTGCGAGCCACGGCGACAGCGAGCCGAGTCACCCTCGAGAGATGTGGTGTGGTGGAGGTGTGCTACAGCCAGCCCTTCTTGTGGAACCATATCAGCTGGAGAACGGATGAGACGACGGCGACGATCCAGAAAAACAGATACGAGTAGCGCCAGGTGAGCTCAGGGAGGACCTCAAAGTTCATGCCGTAGGTGCCAGTGAGGAACGAGAGCGGCATGAGGATGTTGGAGAAGACGGTGAGGCGCTTCATGGTGTTGTTCATGACCTCGTTCTGGAAATCATTGTACATGGAGACGACGGCGGCGGCGGCGTCGACGTAGGTTGAGCACATCTGGATGTTGAGCCCGAGGTGATCCATGACATCGGTCATGTACGCGCGGGTCGAGAGCGACATGTTGGTGTCTTGATGGAGCGAGATGACGAGCTCGTTGGTCTGCCATAGCAGCGTGCGCAGCCGCTTGAGCTCTTTCTGCAGCAGCCTGGCGGTGTCGAGCAGCGTGCGGTCGGGCGCCTTCATCATGGCCTCCTCGAGGAGCTCAACGCGCAGGCCCCAAAAGGAGGTGATGGGGAAGACCTGGTCGACGACCGAGTCGAGAATGGCGTACATGAGAAACGTGGCATCGCCAGAGCGAAGCTTCGAGTTGGGGTAGTTGACACGATCGAGCACGGGCTTCCAAATGCACTCGTACGTCGACTGCGGGTGCTTGGCCTCTTGCACGGTGATGACCATGTCGCGGAGGACAAAGAGGGAGAGCTGCTCGGCGCGAAACTCGTGGCCGCCGGCAACGCTTGCCGGGCTGGCCACGTCGTCGCTTTCGGACGCATCAGCCGCAGCGTGCGCCGCAGATGCCGCGTTGGCATGCAGCGGCGTGGCGCCGGGCAGCGACGTCGGCGAGACCGAGGCCACCGCCCGCCCGCCGTCGTTGTCGACATACATGTGCATGGCGTAGAGGAGGAGGAAGAACTGGCCCGGAAACCGCGTGAGCTTAGGTTGGTGCGGCAGCGTCGCCGCGTCTTCCACAGACAGCGGATGGAGCTTGTACGCTGCGCCGAGCTGCGAGAGGATGGTCACGTCGACGCCCTCAACGTTGACCCAGCGGACGTGCGCCCACTCGGGCTTGGGCCGCGCGAGCAGCTCGTCGACCGAGTCGACCTCAAACATGCGCTTTTTCTCGTGCGAGTAGTCGATGACCGTGATCCGCGAGTTGCCGTCGACAAACGGATGCGGCGCCGCCGCCTGGCCGCCGTGTGCCTCAAACGGGAACAGACGCCGGTGCCGGAACCGCCGCTTGCCCGCCGAGCCGATGTCGGCGCCTCCGCCCAGCTCACCGCCTGACGCTCCGGGCCCGAGCGAGGATGTTGCCTCGGATGTCTCGCACGACTTGAGCGACGACCGCTCGGCCGAAAACATCTTGAGCAGCGAGACGTCGACTGCGCCATCGACTGTGGCGGCCTTGATCGAAAGTAGATTGTCGAGAGACATGTTATGCTGACTCAGCCCGCGCGCTACAAGCTCGTTCTCGTGCGCGCAAACGCCCGAGTCGGACGAGACCGAGTCGGAGGCGATGGTTGGGAGTGCAGCGATCCGCGTAGACGTCGCTGACCGCGACACCGCCGTGACCTTGCGCTTGCTGGATGGCGGTCGCGTGGCTGGAGCCGACGTGCCGGCACGGCCCCAGGCAAATGGCTCGTCGAGTGCAAGCCGATAGAGCCGGATCTTGTACACCGGCTCGTCCGACGAGTCGATTGCAAGCAGGGTGGTGATGAGCTCGGTCGGGAGCGAGGTCGGCGGATTGGCCTCCACCAGCACGTACTCGGAGTATGCCGGCTCGTAGACAGCGACGTCGACCGGAAAGGCAATATCCATCATGACCTTGACGTACTTGACAAACGACCGCTTGGATCGCAGCGCAGGATCGTCGAGCTGGAGTGAGATCTTGCGGACGCGGTCGTTGGCGTCCCACGCTGCTGAGACAAGCAGCGTCGCATCCGGCACCGTTGCGCCTTCTTCAGCCACAGAGCTCATCCCCGCCTCCACTGGCGGTGAAGCAGCCAGAGCCTGTGCCTCGTGTGTCATCGATAGCACATGCTCGGTGTAGACCTCACGATCGACGTGTTCAGGCGCAAACGCATTGTTCACGTTCTCATTGAAAAACAGTTCGTCAGGAGACATCACCGCATCTCCGCCGCCCCTCAGCCTCTCTTCATCCTCTTCCATCATATGAGAGATGGAGCGTACCGATGGCGTTGTCCGTCCACCTCGTCCGCCTGTACCGAGCCCTTGTCTGTCTCCCGCCTCGCCCGTCACCACCTCGACGCCGCCTAGCTCCACTGCCGCGTCAGCACTTGAGCATTCGCCCGAGTATGACAAAGATGAAGAAGCTTGCAGTGGGGGGGGGGGGGGGGCGAGAGAGAGAGTGGAGTGACGGGACCAGGGCAACAGAGTTCGAGCGAGCAGGGGGGGGGGGGGGGGGGGGGGGAGGGACGGAGCGGGACAGCAACAACAGCGACTCGGAGCCCCACACCCGCACCCGCACCCAACTCGACCCCACCCACACTCGCAGCAGTCCACGCGAGGAGGATGGATCCGCGAGCGGTGGCGCCGCTGGGCGGGTGGGGCGTCTCAGGCCGTCCGCGTCAGTTTGGCCGCATGAGAGACGCTCGCTGGGTCGGACGACGTCGTGGCGGCGATGGGTCCATGCCTGGTCGATGGCGCCGGGCAGATGATGCGACTGTGGTCGCCGATGCTGATGGCGATGACGATGCTGCTCTGGCGGTCTCGCAAACAAACGTTGTGCTCGCTGATGAGTGCGCGTTTGACAATGCCAGGGAGGGCGTCGCCGCCGCGGTCGGCGACTCGGAGCCGCTCGAGGCCGCCGTCGACGCGCTGCCATCATCGCGCAGGTTTGAAGTCTGGCGCGCGGCCCGGACGAGAAAGACGGCGCGCTCAAGCGCAAGTGTGGGAGATGACGAGGGAGACGGAGATGCGGACATCGATGTCGACGTTGATGCCTTCTTTGCGCTTGCCGAAGACAGTGAGGCTCTTCGGCGACACGAGCGCAAGAAGATCGTCGACATGCTCTCGGTTCTCTCGCCCGACGTCATGCGGCGGCATCGCGCCGCCCTCGACGCCCAACTCAATGGCGATCCCGAGTCGGTCCGTACCCGCAAGATGTACGGCAGCCACAGCCCGCGACGATGACCAGCGCGCGCCGCCATCGAGCCCGCGATCTACAGCAGCATGAACGCATATCATGAAGCGGTGATCATTGGATACTCTTGCACAAGTACTGCTTCCATTCCCTGTCCCTTCCCGCTGCCCCTTCCCGCTGCTCTCACCCGCTGCTTCCTGGTATTGCTCCTCCAAACCCAAAGCTTCTGTCGCACACGCACACGCCGCCTGTCACCCCCTCACCCCCCCCTCCCACATCCCCACCCACCACGCCACCTGTCCCGCACCACCCACACAGCTGGCCTATGGCAACGTTCACACCACCAAGGTCATTCAGTGCAACACGGAGCCGGGGACTGCTCACGGCAGTGGCGGCGGCAGCAGGCTGTAAACCTGGTCTCACCAGCATCACCTCGGGCCATGCCATAGTGGCGAGTCTGGCTGATGTGGCCAACAGCTCTGAGGGCTTGTCGGACTCGGCTCGGGCTGCAGCGGTAGCTTCGGCTGCAGCGAGGCTCATTCCAACTCGTCATGAGTCCGACATTCGCGCCGTTGTCCTCCTCCCGCCCTCGCCCGACTCGGATCATGTCGCCGTTCTGGCTCTGGACGCTCTGCCGCGCGGATCAGATGCAGCCTTTCGCGAGGGCATAGCGGCGCTACTTGCTGGTAGTAGCAACGCCGGAGGAGGTGATGAATTGGTGGTGGCACGGAGGACGGTGCCGTTTGGCCTGGTCGGCTACTACGTCGAGGACTGGCCGGGCGACTGGCCACCGATCAACCCGGACGGAGCGGCGCTCGCTGGTCTGGACGAGCTCCACGGTCCGCTAGTGCTCATTCTGGAGGAACCGCTTGTTGACGGCGAGACGTTCTGGTGCCCAACGAGCATGTACCACGGGCTTGGGGGTGAGAGCATGCCCGGGTCGGTGGATGTCGTCCGCGATGAGGTGCTGCCGCGGGCGCTGGAGCTGTACGCTCAGCAGAAGAACGCGACCACTGGGCGATTGACATTGGTGAACGCGCTGGCTGAGGTCGGACTCGGTCCGCAGTGGCTGGCAAGTGCGCGCAGGACGCTGACTGGCGCCCGCGACCGCATGATGGCGCTGATTGACGGTGTGGCCGAGGCGAGTGCACATGTGCTCTCGACCCGTCTGCTGGCGCTTCCCGCGTCGGCGCCAGCGGCGGCTGCAGTCGCTGCCTGTCTCGACGTGCTCAACGAGCTCCTGCAGCCAGAAGAAAACGCGCTCTGGTGGCGGATTGGCGCCAAGGTAGTGCTGATGCTGCTGGCGGTCGATGGCAGCGAGTGGTTTGTCCCGCGCGATCTGGTGGCTAGCTACTCGCTGCGAAAGCAGGTCATCGACCTCTCGCTCATCCGCGCCCTACAGGCTGCGGCCGGCGTGACGCTCACCTCAAAAGGCAAGATGCTGCTTGTGGCACGGACCTCGGGGTTTCAACTTCTCCGTGAACACCTTGCCGCCGTGCCAGGCGTTGCGCTGGGCGCTGTGTCCGCCAACGCACCTGAAAGCCCGGCGCCCGCCTCGGACACGTGTCTCGCGCCACCAGGCCCATCGTCGCTTGCCTCGCCCGCCTCCGCGTCGCTTCTGATCTTTTCATCGGGCTCGGGCTCGGACTCGGGCTCGGGCTCAGGTTCGGGCCCTCGTCCTGGCCTAGACTCTGACTCGGACGACGATGCGTGGGAGGTTGTGCGCGCCGACGATGTGTCCAAGCTCAACATGATGTTCGAGCCTCTCAACAAGGCGCTTCAGGCAATGCTCTCGCACTGCACGCGGGCGGACGACGACGAAATGGCGGTGACGGCCGACAACCCGCATGTCGACGAGCTCGTGGCGGCGCTCGAGGCGGTGCTTCTGGACGGGGCGCGCGAGTCCCGTCTGCGGCTGACGGCGCCTTTCAAGCGGGTCCTCAAGTGCCTCGCAGCCGGCTCGGGCGCGGTGGCACAGTCGCTGGCCGGTCTCAAGGCGATGGGCGTGAGCTCGTCGGCGCTCCTGCGGGTTTGGATCCGGGTGGGCCTTGTGCAGAAGACGCTCGCCGACGATCTTCTCGCCGCGCTTGCACTAACCGATGCGCCGTGGGCGCTGCAGGGCGCGCGGGCCACCGCGCTGGACAAGACGTATGCAGCAAGCGCATTTGTGCGGACAGCCGAGACGCGGGTAGCGCTGTACACGTTCCTGGAGTCGTTGATGCGGATCACGTTTGCCATCGGCATTCGCGACGGGATGCCATCGTCGTAGGCCGTCACCTGGGCTGTGTCGTTTACGGCATTGCCATCGGGGAAAAGCGCACAAGGGCCGTTGATTAAAAGTACGCCAGCTCATCGTCGGCCGACTTGCCCTCCTGGACCGAATGGACCGAGTAGTCGCCGCCAAGGTCCTTGTAGACGCGGGCATGGATGTGCTCGTCGCCAGTGTTGATCTTGAGGAAGTAGTTGGTGCCGGCCACCAGCTGGGTGCCGTACGACACCACATCAAACGTGCCGTAAGTCTTGCCAGTCTTGCCCTCGATGTCGCCCTTGTTGGCAGTCGCAACTTCCTGCGCCACGGCATCAGCCGGCTTGATCGCTGTCCCCACCCCGTCCAGTCAAGCCCCGCCACCCGTGATCGATCACACGTGAGTTTTCGCCATTCTCAGGAAAAAGGTCGTAGCACCACGTCACCCGCCCGCTTCCTTCCCACTTGGCCACCCGCTGCGCCGCGGACTCCCGCCAGACCTACACCACCAGACCCACAGCAACCAAACTGCATGTAGCATATCCTGCTCAATGCTGTCCGCTGGTACCCCGGCTCCAGCCAAAGACAGCACAGCCAACCACAGAGCATGTGACAGAACATGTGACAGAAGAAAGACCGCCGCCCCCCCGCCCCCCCCCCCCCCCGCCCCCCCCCCCACCCTACACACCACACCACACGACCCTCCCTCCCTCCCCACCCACCCACAAGCTAACACTATGACGTACAACCAAGAGCACCTGCGGACATGTTTGTGTTGAACTGAAAGAGAGAGGGAGAGAGGAGTGTCGCTAGCTGGGTCGCGGTGGTCGTGTTCGACGTCTTCCGTCTGCTACCATCACCTGGCGACTTTGTTGTTGTCCAAGCCGTCCCACATGGCTTCGTCCAAGTATGCGATGGACCGTCGATGAACACCATACTGAACGATCACATCCACCCATCCCCATCCCCTTCCCCTTCCCCTCTTTCCTTCCAAGCCAGCACGGATGTACACTCATCACCACTCACAACAGTGTTCCTCCCCCCCCCCCAATCAGTCGATTCCGGCCAAACCTTCCTCTCTCCTTCCTCACCCCTCACTCCCCCCCTCCCTCCCTCCCTCCCACATTCCCACACCACTACCCATACCCATACCCCCACCTCACTCCCCCCTCCCCCCCCTCCCCCCCTCCCCCCCCCCCTCCCCAACTGGGGAATGCTACTCTCCGCCCTCCCGGGCTCCTTTGCCCTCGGCGCCTCGTTTGCATGCTCGGCAGCCTTTGCCCTCCGCTCAACCGAATCATTCCTTGTCAATGGTACGGACAAGT